AAAACGTTTTATTTTGATTAGACATGCTTATGTAAACATTTCTCTGAAAAAGAAAAAAGGGAGCAATAAAAAGTACTATTTTTAACCCTTACAATGAGCAACACAATTGGACGATTCGGTTGTCCCGTATTTATATAATTATACTTCGATGAGGCACATGTATACCTTTGTTTTCACTTTTGAAAAGGGAATTAAAATATATAATTCTTCATTTAACATTTTCTTCTTCTTAATTTTACAATTGCATAGTTTGGTATATTTTAAAAACAATTTTGTTGAGTTTAAATCATATGCATCCTTTGGCTTTTAAGATTTATCTTAAAAGTGGCTGCTAGCTTGAGCCTGATGTATAGAAGGGCAAACTTTAAGAATAACAAAAGACCAGAGTTCCAATGTCCCCCGCGTTGCACATATTTCATCTATCCAAGGTACAAGGGCAATAACTTTAAAAAGCCCCTTTTTGTTTTGTTCTTTAAAACTTTTTATTAATATCTTAAGAGAAATGAAGGCTTCAGAGCAAATGCAATGTGATTTCCATTATAACTTATATTTTCAAGGGGCATTACTCGTTAAAAATAATTGATCAGAACTTATTTTCGAAAGTTTCAAAGACATTGCTGATATAAACCTTTGATATAAGTTTCGTAAAATTCTGACAAGAATTGAACACATGAGAGCGATATCATTGTAATTTTCCATATAATCAATATTTTCAAGGGGCATAAATAATTGATCGGCACTGATTTTTGAACTCTTCAAGTACATTGATAATATAAACCTATAATACAAATTTCACAAAATCTGGCAAGAATTGTTCACATTAGAGGGCGCATATAATTAATATTTCCAAGGGGTATAACTCTTTTAAAAATTATTGATCGGCACTGATTCTCAAATCCGTCCAAGACATTGCTAATATAAACCTATGATTTAAGTTTCATAAAATTCTGGCAAGATTTGTACATATGAGAGCGCTAACAATGCAATTTTCCATATGGTTATTTCCAAGGGGCATAACTCTTTTAAAAATAACTGATCGGCACTGATTTTCGAACTCGTCCAAGACATTGCTAATATAAACCTATGATATAAGTTTCATAAAAATTTGGCAAGAATTGTACAAATGAAAGCGCTAACGATGCAGTTTTCAATATAATTAATGTTTCCAAGGTGCAGGACTCTTTTAAAAATAATTGATCGGCACTGATTTTCGTACTCGTCCAAGACATTGCTGATATAAATCTATAATATAAGTTTCATAAAAATCTGGCAAGAATTGTACACGTGAGAGCGCTAACAAGACCGGACGGACGGACGCACAGACGGATAGACGGACAGACGGGCGCCCGGTATTTCCATGTCCCCGCAACACGTTGCGTGGGGACAAAAACAAGAAGAGTATTTAGATATGTCACTTTAGATTAGTGTTGGCTAATGAAAAAAATTAGAAATGAAACAAATTTTCAAATGCCAATCACAGATATTTAAGTCTTAAACATTTCGCAAGTTTTTATTTAGAGTTGACATAGTAAAAAATAACAGGGAAAACAAATGCAAGTAAAAAAAAAGCTATGACATTCGGATGTAATACAAATTGGAATTTTGTGTAACACTAGTTCAAGGCGGATAACCTGGATAAAATAATGCCTGTGTGAAAATTCGAATTCTTAAGGTTTTGGATATACAGGACTGCATTTGGGAAAAAAATGAGGCAGCCATTGGGAGTACAGTGGTAAAGAAAAAAAAAATATTTTCTTCACTATAACCTATGCATGAACAGGATTGTGTAGACCAAGATATGTAACAGAGCAGTAAAATGTTAAAATTAACAATAAAATGAACATAAAAAGTACAACAAAAAACATACAAGGATTGGGGATAAAAAGGTATGTTCTGCGTATAAACCGTCCGATATTACTATCAACTTACATTTTTATTTATTTATCCGGCTATAGGCGTAATGTTTGTAGTTGTTTACAGCCTTGACCTTTGTTGTTTGGTGGATAGTTGTCTTATAAATTGGTAATCATGCCAAATCTCTTAAGTTTTCTTTTATTTTTATTCTAGGGCATCTTTCAGAGAAACAGATATGTTAAATCATTGATGAACGAACTATCATTAGGACGGCATAATATTCGCGTCTGTGTGCTAAGTTGTCATTTATAACGAAATAAACATGTCGAAATAGACATATAAAATGGCAATTTTTCATATAGTTCCTGGATAAAAAGATATATAAGCCAATGCGTTATAAAAAAGATACGTTTCCTACATTACCATTTAAGGTACATTTTTGAATGAGATCTTTTTGGGAAAAGCATTGGCCCAATCCCAAGAATCAATGACAAGTTCTCGAAGTTAATATAAACATAGATGAGGTATGGCTGCCAATCAGTATGAGTCAATTTTCCCACCTGCATTTATGTTGAAAAAATCTCGACTGCAGAGGTATTGCATCCTTTCACACAATTGTGGAAACTGCTGAATTTAGAAGTTTAGTTTGTTTAATTTTTCTTTATCTACTATAATTGTTAAAAACACAAAAACAATCATCAACCAAGGGCAATAGCATATTTAGGACTAAAGAGCCGGTTTCAATCATCAGGATCTATATGAATCTTCAACAATGGCCAACAAAGTGGACTATATTTTTTTTTTATTTTTTAAAGAATATAATTCATGACTAAAATCATTTATTTTTTTCTTGATCTTGTTTTGATGATATTTTCTCTCTATCTTCTTTAGTTTTTGCCCAAAGCATCTCTATTTATAGCAGCTTTCAAGTTAATAGACAACACTTGCATTAACACCAATGTTCTTTTTTAAGCCATGTCAGCTATTTTGGTTGGCAGGCGTGGTCTTCGGGGATATTTTTCAATTGAAAACTAGATACCCTAATGACTATTGTGGTTAAGTTAGATCCAGAAGTTTCAGAGAATATTTTTGTAAAATTTAAAAGACGACGATGGAAGACGAACGCCAAGTGATGATATATAATGCTTCGCCGAGCGCAGCCAGATACGCGGACCGCAGAGGTCCAACCCTGAACAGTTGGGGCAAGTTTGGACACAATATTCAAGCTTGATACTATCTGAATTTGGACTGTGATCAAATTTTTTGACATAATATAGGTTTCTGACACAAAATAAATGTGGTCAAAGATCTTAAAAATCTAAAATGGGACATTTAATTTACCTAGTATGGTCTGATATCCAAAATCTAACAACATGGTTAGATTCAGCATATAAAAAAGCACCAAAAATTTAATTTTAGTTGAAATCTGGGACTATTATACTAATAATATAGTATAATAGTCCCAGTTGAAATCAAACAAATTTTAATTTTAAACCCTTCAAACCTAAATATGGACTAATTTTTTGGCACCTAAATCCTAAACTGTTGGTACCATAACCCCCAAAATCAATCCAAACCTTCCGTTTGTGGTATTGAACATTGTGGTAAAATTTCATAGAGATCCAATCACTTAAACTAAAGTTATTGTACAGAAACCAAATGTGTCTTTTTTTTAACGACGACGACGCCGACATGATAGCATTATACGAACGTAAATTTTTTGCGGTCGTATAAAAATGACTGGTTATTTTGGCCTTGTTGACTTTTTGTAGATTTTGTCTTGCTGATCATTTTTAAATTTCATAATTTCTCTCTATCTTTTAAAGTTTCACATTAAGAAGCATAACTGAAATAATAAATGCGGAATGTGTCCATGGGACACAGATGATGCTCCCGCTTCCATTTCATATAAAGATATAAAGGGACATAACTGAAGAACAGTAAAAGTGACGCTACCCAAATTTGTACTTGATCTGAGATTTGTGGTTATAAGCATTGTGTATAAGTTTCATCACATTTGGTTGAGGCAAACTAAAGTTAGAGAACGGAAACGAAAAATTCAGCAATTTTTATGTTTATTAAGGGGCATAACTCAAGAACGGTAAAAGTGACACCAACCAATTTCAAACTTGATCTGTATTAAGTGGTAATAAGCATTGTGTAAAAGTTTCATAACATTTGGTTGACTGAGGCAAACTAAAGTTAGAGAACGGAAACGAAAAATTCTGCAATTTTCATTGTTTATAAAGGGGTATAACTCAAGAACGGTAAAAGTGATGCTACCCAAATTTGTACTTGATCTGAGTTTTGTGGTAATAAGCATTGTGTATAAGTTTCATAACATTTGCTTGAGGCAAACTAAAGTTAGAGAACGGAAACGAAAAATTCAGCTATTTTTATGTTTATAAAGGAGCATAACTCAAGAACCGTTATCGTGACGGCACCCAATTTCAAACTTGATCTGTGTTTTGTGTTAATAAGCATTGTGTATAAGTTTCATAACATTTGCTTGAGGCAAACAAAAGTTAGAGAAGGGAAACCAACTTTGGTATGTATGGACAAGGGTAAAACTTAATGCCCCCGCCGTAGCGAAGGGATAAAAATGGTAAAAATTGTCCTGTAAGGAGTTCGAATTCAACATTTAGGCTATGTTGACTTATTTATTTGTAGATCTTGTTTTGCTGATCACAGTCTTGACATAATAGATGGTTATTTCACTGTCACCACCGTACCTCATGTCCTTATTTTTATGTAAGCAACACAATTTGCATGGAGTTTCAAATATGCATCATAAATACAAACTAAGCATAGGGAGTAATTGTAATGAATAAAAAGATACATGTTTGTGACTTGGATGGATAGTTGTCTCATTGGCACTCATACCACATCTTCTTATATCTATGTGCAAAATAAGACAAAGATAAAGCAATCCAACAACACAAAAAGCAGGAATAAATCTAGATGGTTCCCTTATTGTCTTCAAAAAAGACAATTATCTGTACAAATTTATGTCAAACTTTAAATCGCCTTGTCTTAGAATCTCCTGAACAAATTCAAGTCAACTTGAGAATATTATATTAGTTATGGATCAAAGCAAAACCAATAATCAAAAACATGTCTTTACTTTACTAGGCAATAAAAGTCTATTTATGAATCTTTGGATATTTTGTTTATTTTGTATAAATAATATCCTCAAAATAAAACACTTTTTTGACAAACTTGATCTGCAAATTGCTTTTACTGTACAAGTAAAATTTTTAACAGTACAAAATCCCTACTCACTACATAAACAAAGGTATTAAAAACATGCACAATGGATACCTGTAATATCAACACAAATGCAGATCATGTCTGTCAACCATGGCCATATAGTGCTGTGTAAATATAATTTGCACCAATAATTTTTATTAAACTATGACATGATATCTTAAAATTATTATATGTTGTACATTATATGTACCTTCTATTTATCAATAAATTTATTTGAAAACTGAAATCAGACATAATGCTTTTTAACTAGAAAAAAAAATGACTGAAAACAAAAATTACAACTGTATGAACATGTCCTATTCAATGTCTGTATTACAAATGTATGAACAACATGTCCTTTTCAATGTCTGTATTACAAATGTATGAACAACATGTCATATTCAATGTCTGTATTACAAATGTACATGTATGAGGGTCTGGATGGGGGTTCTTCATTTCTGTATTCCTAATTTTTGACCATTTTTCTCTATTATTTATAAATTTTGCCTGTTATTCTAGAATATTCTTTTTTTTTTTTGGTCTATTTTTCTCTATTCTTTATTTTTTAGCCCATTTTTCTGCAGTATTGGTTTATTGTTCTCTAATCTGTAAACCCCAACCAGACCCTCATGTTTACATCAGTTTTTCTTTCTTTAAATAGTTCAGAATAGGCAGTTTGCCTTTCTCTCTATCCTTTCATGTCCTCATACTCAATATCTCCTCTCTCTAATTCCACTTCTCTTCACTCTCCCATTAAAGACATTCTCTTATTCATTGTTATTAGTGAATCTAATCAATCAACAACAATATGATATAGAAACATGATCATCTATTCTGTCACCATATATTTACTTTATTCATGTAATATGCCAGTAAGTTACATATACTATATAAGTGAATACACATATAACTTTTTCAAATACTGGTACTGAAGAAAAGATTATTTCCATTTGTACCAATTAAAGTATATCAGATCACTATATCAATCTCAAGCAATCATATGATATAAAAACAATTACATACACTATACATGTCATAATACTGCTTAAATTTGTTCATGTAATAGTTATGTGAAGAAATAAAACCCATGTGACAAAAAATGTGTGATAAGGATAAGTAAAACTGCATAAATTTAACATATTTGTTTATTTCTTAGTGCAGTATAAAGAGCAAATTCAAAACCAGTGGTCCTATGTACATGATGTAAAACGCACAAAAAAAAATCAAACAAACAGTTATTGACAGTGAAAAGAATCCATTTTTTTTTAATAAGAAAGGCTTGCTTTGCATTGCAATTTTTCAAAATTAAATATCTGTCCCTTTTATATCCATGAAAAGCTATTTAATTTCAACACAATTGAATTTTACTAATCATAATTAGTGTTACAGAATATGATTAAAATATTGTAATGAACAGCTGCTGAACAGCTGCTGTACCACTGAGTAAGGAAATGACCTATTCAATGTTATTGTTGTTTATTTTCACCCAAAAACATTTATATATTCAGTTAAAAGTTTTAAAGGCCTTAATCATGTTAATGCTCTTCAAGTTAGAAATGCCATTCCATGTGCCCTGTTTGTAGCTGTATATGCCCTTAGAAGTGAAATTAATATCTATTTCAATTTCTATTTCAAATGCCAAAGCCCAATGCCCTTCTTTTTTTTGGTTATCATTTCACATCCTGATAGTCATATGTTATCTGCCACTGGGTGTTTAAAACACAAAAACATCCAGATAAAAAAATAACCTGTACTGTTAATTTGCACATGTATACATATAGATTCTTACATTGGTACCAGTGGATTATCGATTTATCCAATCGAGATAGTTGAATTATCAAAATTTTATAGTCCGAGCCTTGGCGAGGACTTTAAAATTGATAATTTAACTATCGAGATTGGATAAATCCGAGAATCCATGAGTAACTAAAACAAAACATTTATGTTAGAATCCTGTTTCTCTAATGACAGTCAGGGGTACTACTTGTACAAGTAATTTTTATTTACTTGAAGAAGTAAATATTAATATACTTGTACAAGTAAATTTGTAGGATTCTTATACAAGTGTATTTTATTTACTTGTATAGGTAAATAATTTTTTGGCTTAGTTATGTCCCTTAGACATTCAGATTTTTTACTTATACAAGTAAAAAAGTCATCCTATCTTCTTTTCTTGAATTCTTAGGACTTCTTTGCTCTAATAGAATTTTTTAATTGTCTGTCCTTTACAGATGTCTTTACTAATCATTTAAGTGTAATTTCATGGACAATGAAAATCTCATTTGTCTGTTATCTTCAGAACACTTATCATTTACAAGCCCCCAAGGGGTAATTTTTGAAGACCTTGTGCAAATACTTAAGATCTTTGCACAATCAGTTTCTTTGTTGAATTAATGAGATGAAACATTGAACTCTAATAAAAAATTATGAGCTAACTTGAGAAAAATTGTTAAAGGCATGTTTTTACATCTCAAAACTTGAGAATTTTTGTGGGATTGTTAAAAAAAATTACTTATACAAGTAAATTTTTGAGAAAATTAAGCGGAGATTATTCAAACATTATAATTAACTTATATAAGTATATTTTATTTACTTCTTCAAGTAAATAAAGATTACTTGTACAAGTAGTACCCCTGACTGAATGATTATAGAATAAATTTTCATTTTTGATAAATGAAAATCCCCTTCCAGCAGTGCCTTCGCCATTCCACAAAGTTGTCAATTTCATTAACACCTGTAAGCACATTTTGATTCATCCAGTTAGCTGATAAAGGTTATGACTCTTAAACTCATCTATTGAACTTCTGAGATCATCAGCAACCACACTTTGGTTAAATTTTTTTATACAATGGGTCCAGAAAGTGTTCAATTGTCAATAAAATGCTTCGCTGGGCGCAGCTTGATACGACCGCAGAGGTCGAACCCTGAACAGTTGGGGCAAGTATGGACACAACATTCAAGCTTGATACAGCTCTGAATTTGGATTGTGATTAAATATTTGACACAGCATAGGTTTCTGACACAGAAAGAATGTGGTCTAAGAACTTCAATTTTTTTAATTTACCTATTATGGTCCAATGTCCAAAATCAAAATACATGGTTAGATTCAGCATATCAAAGAACCCCATATATTCAATTTTTGTTGAAATCAAACAAAGTTTAATTTTGGACCCCAACTTGGACAAACTTGAAAACTGGTCCCATAATCAAAAATCTAAACACATGTTTAGATTCAGCATATCAAAGTACCCCAAGAATTCAATTTTTGTTAAAATCAAACTAAGTTTAATTTTGGACCCTTTGGACCTTAATGTAGACCAATTTAAAAAACGGGACCCAAAATTAAAAATCTAAAAACACGGTTAGATTTGGCATATCAAAGAACCCCAATAATTCAATTTTTGATGAAATCAAACAAAGATTAATTTTGGACCCTTTTGACCTCAATATGAACCAATTTGATAGCAGGCCCACAAAATAAAAAATCTAAATACATGGTAAGATTCAGCATATCAAAGAACCCCATATATTCAATTTTTGTTGAAATCAAACAAAGTTTAATTTTGGACCCCAATTTGGACCAACTTGAAAACTGGGCCAAAAATCTAAAATCTAAATACATGTTTAGATTCAGCATATCAAAGAACCCCATATATTCAATTTTTGTTGAAATCAAACAAAGTTTAATTTTGGACCCCAACTTGGACCAACTTGAAAACTGGTCCCATAATCAAAAATCTAAACACATGTTTAGATTCAGCATATCAAAGAACCCCAAAAATTCAATTTTTGTTAAAATCAAACTAAGTTTAATTTTGGACCCTTTGGACCTTAATGTAGACCAATTTAAAAAACGGGACCCAAAATTAAAAATCTAAATAAACGGTTAGATTTGGCATATCAAAGAACCCCAATAATTCAATTTTTGATGAAATCAAACAAAGTTTAATTTTGGTCCCTTTTGACCTCAATATGAACCAATTTGATAGCGGGCCCACAAATAAAAAATCTAAATACATGGTAAGATTCAGCATATCAAAGAACCCCATATATTCAATTTTTGTTGAAATCAAACAAAGTTTAATTTTGGACCCCAATTTGGACCAACTTGAAAACTGGGCCAAAAATCTAAAATCTAAATACATGTTTAGATTCAGCATATCAAAGAACCCCATATATTCAATTTTTGTTGAAATCAAACAAAGTTTAATTTTGGACCCCAACTTGGACCAACTTGAAAACTGGGCCCATAATCAAAAATCTAAACACATGTTTAGATTCAGCATATCAAAGAACCCCAAAAATTCAATTTTTGTTAAAATCAAACTAAGTTTAATTTTGGACCCTTTGGACCTTAATGTAGACCAATTTAAAAACGGGACTCAAAATTAAAAATCTAAATACACGGTTAGATTTGGCATATCAAAGAACCCCAATAATTCATTTTTGATGAAATCAAACAAAGTTTAATTTTGGACCCTTTTGACCTCAATATGAACCAATTTGATAGCGGGTCCACAAATAAAAAATCTAAATACATGGTTAGCTTCAGCATATCAAAGAACCCCAAGAATTCAATTTTTGATGAAATCAAACAAAGTTTAATTTTGGACCCTTTTGACCTCAATGTGGACAAAGTTGATAACGGGGCCCAAAAATCAAAAATCTAAATACATGGTTAGATTCAGCATATCAAAGAACCCCATATATTCAATTTTTGTTGAAATCAAACAAAGTTTAATTTTGGACCCCGATTTGGACCAACTTGAAAACTGGGCCCATAATCAAAAATCTAAATACATTTTTAGATTCAGCATATCAAAGTACCCTAAAAATTCAATTTTTGTTAAAATCAAACAAAGTTTAATTTTGGACCCTTTTGACCTTAATGTAGACCAATTTGAAAACGGAACCAAAAATTAAGAATCTAAATACGCGGTTAGATTCGGCATATCAAAGAACCCCAATAATTCAATTTTTGATGAAATCAAACAAAGTTTAATTTTGGTCCCTTTTGACCTCAATATGAACCAATTTGATAGCGGGCCCACAAATAAAAAATCTAAATACATGGTTAGATTCAGCATATCAAAGAACCCCATATATTCAATTTTTGTTGAAATCAAACAAAGTTTAATTTTGGACCCCAACTTGGACAAACTTGAAAACTGGTCCCATAATCAAAAATCTAAACACATGTTTAGATTCAGCATATCAAAGTACCCCAAGAATTCAATTTTTGTTAAAATCAAACTAAGTTTAATTTTGGACCCTTTGGACCTTAATGTAGACCAATTTAAAAAACGGGACCCAAAATTAAAAATCTAAATAAACGGTTAGATTTGGCATATCAAAGAACCCCAATAATTCAATTTTTGATGAAATCAAACAAAGTTTAATTTTGGTCCCTTTTGACCTCAATATGAACCAATTTGATAGCGGGCCCACAAATAAAAAATCTAAATACATGGTAAGATTCAGCATATCAAAGAACCCCATATATTCAATTTTTGTTGAAATCAAACAAAGTTTAATTTTGGACCCCAATTTGGACCAACTTGAAAACTGGGCCAAAAATCTAAAATCTAAATACATGTTTAGATTCAGCATATCAAAGAACCCCATATATTCAATTTTTGTTGAAATCAAACAAAGTTTAATTTTGGACCCCAACTTGGACCAACTTGAAAACTGGGCCCATAATCAAAAATCTAAACACATGTTTAGATTCAGCATATCAAAGAACCCCAAAAATTCAATTTTTGTTAAAATCAAACTAAGTTTAATTTTGGACCCTTTGGACCTTAATGTAGACCAATTTAAAAACGGGACTCAAAATTAAAAATCTAAATACACGGTTAGATTTGGCATATCAAAGAACCCCAATAATTCATTTTTGATGAAATCAAACAAAGTTTAATTTTGGACCCTTTTGACCTCAATATGAACCAATTTGATAGCGGGTCCACAAATAAAAAATCTAAATACATGGTTAGCTTCAGCATATCAAAGAACCCCAAGAATTCAATTTTTGATGAAATCAAACAAAGTTTAATTTTGGACCCTTTTGACCTCAATGTGGACAAAGTTGATAACGGGGCCCAAAAATCAAAAATCTAAATACATGGTTAGATTCAGCATATCAAAGAACCCCATATATTCAATTTTTGTTGAAATCAAACAAAGTTTAATTTTGGACCCCGATTTGGACCAACTTGAAAACTGGGCCCATAATCAAAAATCTAAATACATGTTTAGATTCAGCATATCAAAGTACCCTAAAAATTCAATTTTTGTTAAAATCAAACAAAGTTTAATTTTGGACCCTTTTGACCTTAATGTAGACCAATTTGAAAACGGAACCAAAAATTAAGAATCTAAATACGCGGTTAGATTCGGCATATCAAAGAACCCCAATAATTCAATTTTTGATGAAATCAAACAAAGTTAAATTTTGGACCCTTTGGACCTCAATGTGGACCAATTTAAAAACGGGGCCCAAAATCCAAAAACTTAATACACGGTTAGATTCAGCATATTAAAGAACCCCAAGAATTCAAAAATAAAACCCCATTGAAATTGATCAAGAAATAAGCAATTTATACGAAGTATCTTCTTTTGCACAATACTGTGCAATTGAATATTTCTTGCTATTGTGCAATACTGTACAATTGACAATTTCTTGCTATTGCGCAATATTGTGCTATTGGATATTTCTTGCTATTGCGCAATACTGTGCAATTGAAGATTTCTTGCTGTTGCGCAATACTGTGCAATTGAAGATTTCTTGCAATTGTGCAATACTGTGCAATTGAAAATTTCTTGCTATTGCACAATACTTATTATATAATAATTAACACATCCTGTTTGGTGTGAATCTCCTACCATATCATTATTATTTGCTTTTAAATATTAATCAGAAATAACCAACTTAAAATGGAAAATTTTAAAAGAAAAAAAAAAGGAAAAAAAGAAAAAAAAAGAAAAAATAAAATCCCCCCCCCCCCAAATTTTTTGAACCCCCTTATGATTCATCACCCCCAAACTCAATCCCAGCCTTCCCTTTGTGGTATGGTACCTTGCAGTACAATTTCAGAGAGATCCATACACTTGAACACAAGTTATTGTCTGGAAACTAGAAAAATGCTTATTTTTGGCCCCTTTTTGGCCCCCAATTCCTAAACGTTTCGGGCAATTACCCCCAAACTCAATTCCAGCTTTCCCTTTGTGATATGGAACCTTGTAGTACAATTTCAGAAATATCCAAACACTTACACACAAGTTATTGTCATGAAACTAGAAAAATGCTTGTTTTTTGCCCCTTTTTTGGCCCCTAATTCCTAAAATTTTGAGGCAATTACCCCCAAAATCAATTACAGCCTTCCCTTTGTGATATGGAACCTTGTGGTACAATGTCAGAGAGATCCATACACTTACACACAAGTTATTGTCTGGAAGTTACAAAAATGCTTATTTTTGGCCCCTTTTTGGCCCCTAATTCCTTAACTGTTGGTACCATAACCCCCAAAATCAATCCCCACCTTCCTTTCGTGGTATTGAACCTTATGGTAAAATTTCATGGAGATCCATTCACTTAAACTAAAGTTAGAGTGCGAAAACCAATGTGTCTTCGGACGACGCCGGACGACGCCAGACGACGACGCCAACGTCATACCAATATACGACCAAAAAATTTTCAATTTTTGCGGTCGTATAAAAATTAGAGAAATGTATATAAACAATGCTATCTGTGTTATTTCTGAATGAAAATTAATGCCCCTTAACTACAATGTACACTTGTAACTAAATATTCACATGTACAATATATATATATGGTATATTGTATTTTGTTAACAAATATTAAAGAATATTATTAAGATTAAACATAGTTGTAGGGAACTTGATAAATGTTTTATTTATCACTTTTTATTGTAAGAGCGACATGCATGTATACATGTACATTGTACAAAAATGTAGTAATAAGCAATTAATATCCACTTTAGGCAATCGTTATATGTTTTGATATTAATACATGATATATAAGAGGACCTATTTTCACATTGTATGTCGTAAAAAATAAATTCATGTTAGATCTTACATTCTAACTCTATATTTAAAACAGAAGCATAGTTAGTTGTTCCCCTTGTTTTTTTTTTAACTAAAATGTTGTCAATGAACAAGACATCAGGAAAATACCCAACCTTTTTACTTTTAAAATAAAATTCTATAGAAACATTATTGTATTGTTTAGGTAGTATGGTAGTATTTGCATTGGCAGTCACAGAGAGCAAATGACAGATAATTGATTTTAATACTAAAATTGGCAATTTAGACACAGGTATAACCTAATTTATCTGATCATGATCAAGAGGGAGTTTCTTGAACTTTTCATATAGCTGACACATGATTGAAGACATATCAATTTTATTATGTCGCAACTGGTGTGTCTAGTCAGGTATTTTTTAAATAGATGAGCTTTAGATTTAACTAAAAACTATAATTTGATTTAAAAAGGATATTATTTAGTTTAAATTAGAGTACATGTATACTGTCATGACTGTAAATGTATCCATTTTGTTTTTGAGCAAGAAACCAAGTATCATCACAGTTTTATTTTCTTAACCTGTTTAACATGTTTAATTAGAAATGCATGTATCTTCTTGTATTTTATCTAAAAAGTACAAAAATGTATCATGATTGTGTTGTCTTGTTTACTTTCTTTTCATATAAACATGATAAAAGTGCATTTTCCACTTCTTACACACAATATCATCAGTTTTAAACAACCTGAAGCTGGAAAACATAGCTCCATGAAGCATAAGTGTACATTTCTGTAAATTGCTACAAATAGCATGATACTACATTTACTACATGGTATACCAAAATTTTGCTTTTTTTAAATTATTTTCTTTTTACAAAATGTTTTACATGCATTTCTATTTTTGTATTATATTTTGTCAGTACCTCAATAACATCCCAAACAAAACGTTGTACATGTATTTCACAATAAATACAATTTGAAGGTGTTAAATCAACAATTCTAATATAAACATGGTAATAAGTCATATAACCCTATTTTGATTGGATGAAGCCTACAGCGTCATTGGCAACAAAATTGCCCAAACATTTACCAACACTGTGGACATTATCAAGACATTTTTCAAATATTTTATTTTAAATATTTGAAGAGTATCGCATATATATATATATATATTGAACAGATATATCATGTAAAGGAGGGGTATTTGCGAAAAATACCAGTCGAGAGAATGTTAAATTTCGCGAGCCGTAAGGCGAGGGAAATTCATTCTCAAGACTGGTATTTTTCGCAAATACCCCTCAAGAACATGCTATATCTGTTTAATTACACCGAATGTTAACGTTCAAAAACGCATTGATGATCGTGACGTTACAAGCGTCCAGTCGGATAAGTATTTTTTGGCAAATACCATGGCAGAGAGGGTAAAAAAGGCATATCCTTTTTGCATATACCCCGGCGGCGTTAAAAAATGAAGGATATTCATTTGATAACAGTAAATTGGTGAAAAATACACTGGCTATCAACCAATCAAAACCCAGGATTCTTACATAAGGTGTAATTAATATATATATATATATAAAATTGAGAATGGAAATGGGGAATGTGTCAAAGAGACAACAACCCGACCATAGAACAGACAACAGCAGAAGGTCACCAACTATATATATATATATGCATTAAATGTGTTTACATGGAACAGTTACATGTATGTATTTGAAGAATTGCCACATCAACAAATTGAACAATGGCCAAATCCTAAATTGACTGTGCAACACTTCCATGACTTCAAATACTATAGTTATTTTTTTAGTTTGGATAGATCCAGCATACATTTGAATATAATGAGATTGTACATTGTTGTTTATATATCATGTATATATATATATATGTAATGTATTTACTATATAACAAGATAATATTATAAATAACATGACTTTGTTCTTCATTAATGCTACATGTACATACATTGTACTTGTATAATAGATTTTTTTATAAATATGTTTTCGGCAATTGATTCATAAAAAATATAGGTATAGAAAAGTTCAGTAAATTTTATATATAATTCAAACCACGAAATAAAATCTAAATCATAAACACAAAATATAAACTTAACAAACCATTTAAACTACAATGAAATAGATCTACTAACACAATAAAAAAATGTACCGGTACTACAAATTGTAAATATTTTTGTTTCAGTCCAGCAAGGCTCCGGCATTAAGCACCAATTCTGGTTCTACATATGCATGTCTAGTTCAGCTAACCTCAAACCTGACTATGGCCCAGGTAATGTATCAATACATACAGAATAAAGGCATTTTTGTTTTTGATACTGACTTTATCAGCAAGAATATCAAGCGAGCCCGTTAGGGCGAGCTGATATTCGAGCTGATGAAGTCAGTATCAAAAAATAAAATGCCATTATTCTTTTTATCGGCAATTTGTCATAACTGTAGGTTTTTTTGGTTCAGAATATGAAGTAGAATGAAATAGTCAGTAAAACTACTTTTACGCATACAAAACTTTGGAATAGTTTTTCGGTTGTATGAATGACGTCGCGTGCATTTCATTGATAAATTGAAGCTGATGGACTTGAGTATGCGACGTCGCTGCACTTATACATGACGTCATTGCCTAATATTTTCGAGTATCAAGTCCTGTCCATGATCTTAAAAATATTAGGCTGTAAGATCAAAGATAAAATGTACAAACTGCCGATAAAGTAATGTATAAGGTATTATATTTATAGTTATTTGATTAAGATAAACTTGTAGCAGTACTATATATATAGCTAGTAATCTTAGATTAATGGTTGGAATATTATTCAAATTGAAATACAAAGATCATCTGTCCTTTCAAGTACCTAAAATTTCTTAAATTTATATGATTTTTCACTTATTTAAGGTAACAGAACCAAAATTTGCAAAATCATGTGATAATGAAGATACATGTTTATCCAAAGAATATTGACATGAAAATACTCATGTGTAGTGTAAATTACATCTGTCATGCCTGTGTCACAAACAAAAAAGGCTAAAATTTAAGACATTATGAGAACATTTTATATTTGTTAAATTTAACATATTTCACACTGCTTGAAAAAACAAATAATAATTCTCATTACCAAAAAGCTCTAATATACTTTTAGACATTTTCGAAATTAGTTATGGATAGTTTAATTTTTTTTGAATTTTGGCAATTTTAGGAGCTTACTACATCCATGACATTTCCATTTTGTGCAGATTATAGTGTCATTACTGTACTGTAACAAAAATATTCACTAGAAAAAATAGCACTTTTTGAAAGTATGGCAAGAAAAATAAATTACATATGTACTTGTAATTGATGTTACAATTGTTGTAATGTACATTTGTAACTAATTCATAATACTAATGTCATGGTTTTACTTCATCAAATAGCAAGAACACATTTTGTCACAATCTGACATTCACCATATATCTTTAACAAAAGGAAGTGCTAAATATGGCTAAAAGTTACACATAATTAGGTTTGCCTTATTTCTTTCATTCTGTAAATTGTATCAGTTCAAAAAATAAATTTTGACATACACTGTATACATGTATGAGGGTAGGAATGGGGTACCCCACATGATGAATGATGGTAAAATACTTCTTAAAATAACATCAACAATAAACATTATACTCCATTTGACGCTAACAGTAGCTACAAAAATGAGATTTGACGAATGACGATAAATAATTGAGGCTCATTGGACGATAACGGTAGCCAAAAACAGATCTTTGACGCTTGACAATAAAGGGCATTCCTACCCTCATGTATATTAACAATGTTTATTCTGTTGCAGCACAGGTCAGGCAAACATTAGCTACACATATACATCATGTATAATATACTGTTAATGGTTTTTTTTTTCTTGATGCAACATTTGTAACTTAAATGTGAACTTTTAGTGATTTAACATATATAAGGATTTTCCAAAATTTTATTTTAAAAAAGCTCATCTATCAAGTGTATACATTAGCCTGGCATTCTGACCCAATCTAATACTTCGTAGATAGGGCCAGGCGTAATACAATCCATGTGACCAACTATGAGCGCTGAACAGGACTGAATTACTGCGCATGTGCATGTTCTATAAACAAGGAATATATCAATCAGATCGTTAATAAACAGTTGATTCACGATGTTAATCAATAACGTTTGAATTATATATGCTAAATTTTTCTAAACTTGCATTTCATATGAAATGAAAAATAATTTTCAATGAATTTGTGACAATATAAATATTTCCCGCCATGTGTCAAGAAATGATGCTATCCCACAATGCATCATTCTAACATCCAACTGACGAAACCATTTTGTTGTATTCTGCCTAGCTCTACTGCCGAGTAGTGACGAGTAGTGAGTCAGGATCCCAGGCTAGTGTATACATGTACATATGTACATTAGGCATTACTTTAAAGTTTCGTGCAAAAAATAATCAAGAGAGACAAATAAATGTTCAAATATGTCTTTTTGGTATATGTGTCATTCAGGTACAAATGAATTTGGTTACGGTTTCATTGATGTGTATACACACAATGTACTTTTATCCTTTTGTTAAAACAAATGATTTTGTATAAAAAAATATATATAGCACATTAGAAACTGACAGTAGGACATTATACATGTTTATTATCGTTTATGCCACAATCCAAGATTTAAAGTTGTCAGTCTTTTCAGTTGCATTATCTTCTCTAAACCAACAGTTGTTATTTTTGTACAACCGTACAAGTCAATTGAACTCAGATTCTTCAAGTTATCAGCAACAAGTCCAAGAGATTTGTCTGTAATGCGGATACACTGGCCAATGTTCAAGGTGGTTAATTCATGTAACGTTTGAACAAGTCTATAAATCCCATCATCACTAATATTACACGCATTAAGGCATAAGCATCTTAAACAAAATAACCCTTGAGCAATATACTGAAGAGACTGATCCCCAATCTTGTCACAAAAACTAACATCTAGAGTTGAAATTTTTGCTGTGCCATTAGCTAAATAACCAATGCCCGTGTCACTAATATTATCACAACTTCTAAGATTCACTTCTTGTAAATTTGGCATTTTAGATATGAATTTTAAACCTGTGTCGGTTACACTTCCACAAAAACTTAAATTTATTGTTTTTAACTGCATTATTCCGCCACTGACATGTTTTAAAGCCTGATCTGTAAGTTTTTGACAGTCTTGTAAACCCAAATGTTCTAATTCTAACGTTCCTGTTGCCGCATGTGGACTCTGTCCTGCTAAATGCCCAATGCCAACATCTGAAATATGTCTACAACTCCGTAGATTGAGTTGTTTCAACTTTCGCAATCCCCATGCGATAAGCAGAAGTCCTGTATTAGAAATGCTACAACATCCACCTAATTCTAAGATCTCAAGATTTTTTAGACTTTGTGCAATTCTTCCTAGACTGTTATCTGTCACTTGCTTACAGAGACTGAGATTCAATGCAGTAATACAAGGGAGATCATTGGAAAAAGCACCACCAAGACCTATATCAGTCACATTATAACAGCCACTCAAATCTAAACACTCTAAATTAGAGATCCCAGTAACGACATCTCGAAGGCTACGTCGTAAACTTAAAATTTGTACTCTTTTGATACCACGTTTTACCAAACTCGGGAACAAAGACGGGTTTGCACGTCTGAGATGGAGCTTTGATATAACCCCTCTCCAGACCATACGATTATATGCAGCGTCTCTCCACGACACACACACCTGGGCAGCTCTTCCTTTGTCTTTCACCTCTAAATAACTAAATATTATTGTCAAAATTTCTGGAAACAGACAGGAAATGTGAGCAGAGGCCTTTTCGGCCTGCTTCTCCATTTTACATGGCTTCCTGTTTATCACGTGACAGGACGAAAAATTTCAAACCACATGATACGAAGTGGCAATTTTCATTTGTTAGTAAAAAAGCCCGGGAATTATTAAATTATTTAAACACTAATATCACTATACAAATCCTTGCTAAGGGACTTATCATTTTTTACCTGGGAGGGGGGGCTGGTCATTTTGAAATCATACATACAAAATTTCTTGATCCCCCCTCCATAATATTTCACTATTTTTATTTGATCCCCCCTGTAAAATATTTAAAAAATGTGATCCCCCCTCTATTAAACATGCCAAAATTTTAACATGCGAATCACTTATCATGTTATTTCAAGGAAATATTGAAAATGAAATATTCTCTGAGTGGATTGAGTCCCAAAACTTATTTGAGGGAAAATTGCCTTGAAAAGGGACTCTTCCATAAGGCCTCTTCCATGAATATTAGTAGGTAGAGCAAGCCAGTGCTTTGAGTAGCTTTTTCTGATATTTTTTTCTAATTTCCTATATTGGGCTTATAAAGAAAACTTGATTCTGAGTAACTCTGTAAAAAATATACACTGCGTGGCACTCATGTACAAGAATTGTGGACACTTTTGAGGGAGATAACTCAAATTAAGAAATAATTCTTTTGAACTGGGTTTCTAATCTCCTTGACTCATCTGGTGTCCAGTTCGCAAGATAAGACAACTCTCGATATGTGTCGCGATGGTCTATTGATGATCATATATGTGTTAATTGATTGTAATCAGTGGGAATCCTTTAACATGTTAACTATCAGCAAGGATTTGTATAGTTTTAAATCCTTGCTATCAGTTAGACACTTGGTTTTAAAGAGAAAGAAAAATTATATTTAAATATGCAATTACTTGGGCTGTAGTAGAAAGAATTCACGACTAACTATGTCAAAAAAGTTCATAGTTTAATTTTCATTTGGCATAATTACAAATCTTTCTTTCAAAAGAATCTTCTTTGTCCTTCTTGATTATGTAAAAAAAAATCTGATAAAAGGTATTTACTATCTGTTTTATACGCCTCTGAAACCGTAAACGATTGACTTTACAATGGTAATTATGAGGTCATAAGTAAAGGTAATTTTTCAGTCCTGAGTTGCAAGTAAATGGCACAAAGTCCCACGCCTGACCGTCACATAATTGATAGGACAAAAATTCACAATTAAATAGTAAAACTGTTTACTATCGTTTGAATATATTAGAGAAACTTAAATTATTGAAGTACTTTCTTTTTATCACATAAATTCATTATACAGCTTGGGATATTGTTCGTTAGAATTGATAAATGAAGACTTATCAAATTTTATTCATGCAAAGGATATATTTCTTGGTACCATAAAGCCAGTCAAGTAATAACAAATTTTCGCAGCCTATTTTCTAAATAATCACTAGATCATTATGAATTCTTTTACCGTGAATTAATTTTGTTTACAAAGTTGTTTATACTTATAATTATTAATGTTCAAGAAAACACAAACTATTACTATGAAATAAGTTTTTCACATTGTAAATCAGAGACAAACTATCTCTAACCTGACTTTTTTCTGGTACCATCTTCGTGTCCGGGGCTTTTATGTCCTACATTTGAAATGTATCATCTTAATTCAACAAATGGATATATTGGCTTATAAATAAAAAGATGTGGTATGATGAAAACTTTCCGTCAATTGAAAGAACAAAATACGAGGATGTTATCAACAGTTACTATAGGACACTGTACGTCATTCAACAATGAGTAAACCCAGTTATACATGTTATAAAATGCCCCGGTATGAAAAAATGAGAAATCATTTAAAAGAGAAAAACAATGGCCTGATTTATGCTCTAACATAGTTAAAAAAAAAACCACTAAAATCGCAACTAGTTAAAATAGCGGTGTTTTTTTTTTTCTAATCTTAAAAAATCCATTTTTCGATTTTGAGACGCTTTTCAGAAGATTTGGGTAAAAAAGACTAAACCTGTGAATTTTAGAAAGTCGATTTGATAAGTTTTGACAATTTTAAGGCTACAATAATTTTAAAGAGGTAAATTAAAAGGCAATCTCACGTTTTTTCTTCTTTTTTACTAGTGTGAAATACATACAGGTTGGTATAGTTCCTATTTTTCGAAATATTTGCCTACTTCGTGTCAATTTTCGCTGTATCTGTATAACCGTTAGATAATGATGTTTATTCTTAACATAAACCCATATTGAAAAGAAAAGATGGGAGTAATATGCAAAAACCAGACACAATACAATTTCATATGAAACTCAGTCATAAATTTCGAAAACATATGCCGCGCGGGTATGGATCTAAATTTTTCAATAAAGTATAGAGCTTCATCTTCACATGTGTATCCGGGATCGTTTTCCGTCTTCCTCAGGCAAGTTTAAAAAGCAATTCATATTGATGAAGATAACAAATGTTTTCATATATATTAACCTGCAAAATCGCTAAATAAGTTCATGAAAAAACATTATAGGTCTGCTATATACAACTTTTTATACAGCCATTGTATGAGGGTTCTTTGAATTTTAGACATAAACAAAACATGTCTATCCAAAATAATTTTGTAATCACATAGCCCGGTAAGCAGAAAGGCAAAATAGATTTTCAAAAATATTTAATATGCACTCATGTGGGACGATCATTTTTATATAGACACCAACAGGAGGCGAATTGGAACTTAGACGATTAACTGTGAAAAAAAGGCATAGGATAGCAAATTTACGTACCACAAATAAGATGTGTGGCATAAACTTAAACAAACCAGAGTTAAGTTCTTTTCTAGAACTTGTCTGTTTTGTATTTTCTTTTATGCACGTTCTGTTAATCTATACTGAGATTCAAAAGGGGGAGGGTTGAGACCTACAAAAGTTAGTTTAACTCGAACTCATTTCAATATACATGTACTAGTACCTGTCAAAATTTGGGGACCTCGTAAGTAGTTGTCGTATGTCATATCTTATTTGTTTTCGTTATTTGGAGAATGTTTGTGTTTATAACAGACCTTAAGAAAAATAAGAAGATGGGGTATTATTGTCAATATTAGAAAACAATGCACCAGAGACTGAAAAACGAGGATGTAAGCAAACGCCACATAGTTTTTTTTTTTAAATTCACATTGAACGTATAGACTCTGGGCGATTTAGATCCTGATATTTTTATAAAGGCATGTCTATTGTTGAGTATTTAAGTTGCCCTGTAAGAGCCTGTCTTTTGGAGAAGGCTATATTTTGCTCTCTAGATGTCTAAGTTATTTATGTGCATGCATGGTTGGGTTGCTATCTCATTCACCAGAAGTTCATGACTTATGCATTTACTTATACCCCACATCTACCTTCATTCATAGAAAAAGTATGGTCTGATAGAAATGATTACACTGATATTGAAAAGCAAAGTAATATTATTTTTGAAATATCAGAAAAACTGTTGCACATATCAAATGATATGTCAAAGAGAGTGCCCAACTGTTTTTGAATTTATTATTATAATTTAACTGTTGAATAAGTTTTTTTTTATATCATCGGACATTTGAATGTTCTAGATGCACAATTAACATATTGGATAGAAAATAAAAGGATATGGAGTAAATGTACATGGGACAAAATCGCACACAATACATAGAAAACATAGAAAATTATCAATGAATAGTGCTTTTATTCCTGTTCTACATCTTGACAGTTGATGTAGGGTCTTCAACAATGAACGAATCATTCCAATATTTCAACATTCAAAATTTTAGTTAAATCTCTCGTGCACACTAGACATGCTAGACGGGTCTATATATGTTCATGTATAAACATCCCTGAGTACAGAAGTTGACGGAGTTATACGTTAAGTGTACATTAAACTTTTAGTACTGTCAAATGATATTCAAAATCAGCATGAATGTCGGTCTACATCTTTCATTAATTGAATAGCTGGCAGATGATAAAACAGCGGGTGGTTATTGTTTAAATTCACACCTTAATATGGTTAGATAAGAACACAATAAACGATACTTGTACATAGCCTTTTCCTTCCAATAAAAAAATTATGTATTATACATAATAAGTGTTTACGAGAAAGAAAAACAATTAAATCATTAATGTAACTTTTCCCGAACCCTACAAAACTTAAATAGCAATACACAAATGCCATTCATTTCAAGTTAATTAATTCATCATTCAACTTTTAGTACATCATTTCAAATTCACATTGTTTCCTTTGTCATTAGGTGTGTACTGCAAATAAGCTCTTTGTAATTCATCAGCAATTTTCTAATCATACAAAATGTGTTTAAGTTCTATCTATATATCTAAATTCTCCGGATAATGTTTAAAATTTCAACAATTTTTAATCGGGACTAAAATTCAATTTAACATTTTCGTCATCATGAATTTATTTTAAACAATAATAGAAAAATGATTAATATCATTATTTTTTTTTTTTAAGTTTCGACGCTATCTTATATTAAACATTTTCCGTCTTTCCCAATATGGTACGTATAGATATCGGTTTCAGTTCTTTACAATATACGTATACATGAACTGACGTTTGATAACGAAATAATCACCGTATTCAAACTTCCAGGGACACCATCAAATGCAAACTTAAAATATTTTTTTTTGCACCTTCAGAAAGAAGAATTATACAAAAATAACATGGGACATGGCGAAATAATGTCACTGCAATAATGAATTTATAGGAATTTTTTACTACCACTCGTCATCATTGAATTTGGTTAAGTTATGTAGGAAAAACGTATCTTTTCATGGGAAATTTTCAAATCATTAGGGACACCACTTTTAAATAACATAAAATAATTTTTTTTACATCAAAATAAAGATAAATCTAATAACTTTTTCACCTGCCATGGCAATAGTTTATGATTGTACAAATAAAATATTGACAAATCATTTTAAAGCAACTGTCATGTTTTTTCCATATACAGCAATGTTAAATTTTATCAGTCCAGAAGTGCTCCCTTGTTATTCACTGATAACGTTACCCCCGCTGAGCTGTCCCTG